GGCGGCACGCCATGGCTCTTAAATGCGCTTCGAGGCCTGCTGTGGACAGTTGACGCGGCCGTTCCTCTGCCTGTGGAGCTACATGCAAGTAGTGCTGTAGTGGAGCTAAGGCTGTTCGTTCGTGGAGCTACACTGAGTGTCTGAGCCTGCTCGGATGCCTCACACAAGTGCCAAGTGGTCTCATGGCAACCATTTCCTCGACACGAGGGCTGGGGCTAGCGCTCCTTGCTGATGATGGTGATGGTGACATGCAGCCAAAGAAGGCTCCTGCAAGAAAATTTCAGGAACACACAATGCGCTGCATTACTCAGGGGCAAGTCAAAACCCTTTGGCAAGCCGAAGGCCAGCAGCCTGGCAAGCAAAGCTGGGCAGGCGCCAGCCGATCCTGCCATGTCAAAGATCGATGTGTGCAGGTGTCAAGCGGAGCGAAGTCTCACACCTTGACAAGTGGATTAAATCAATTGTGAGGTGCACATATTTGATTATTGGCCCTGAGTCTCAGGTGCAGCAACCACAATCAATTTGGAGAGCCAACAATTGTCCTGAAGCCCTTTTCAGCACAAGGCCAAGACAACATCAAAGCAAGTTGGAAGTGCGACTTGCAGTAAAATAAGGCTGCCTTGAACTTGGAAAAGTCCGATCACATTGGCCACCTCATTCAGCCACTGCTGAGTTGAGTCAGCCAACGCTCGGCTCAAGATAAGGGCCAGACTCAGACTGGCTCTCTGTCAAAAATCCTCACTGACTGACTGCAAACTGTTTGCTCAAAGACACTGCCAACGGTGACAGAATTGTCGTGAGTCCGCTCAAGCGATAATCGCTCAGGCCAGGGCTTCCTTTCTGCCAGACCTGACGATCACAGGATGGTCTCAAGAGCAGGAGTTTCAGTGGTAAGAACTGCAAGCTGGCACTGTGTGTCATCACGGCGTGTCTACAGCATCTTCTGGAACTTTTCCCTGCTGTTCACATCAATGAGTCGAGTCTAACACTTAGTAACACCATTTCTTTGCGAGCGAGTGCTGCCCCGGCTGTGTGGCAAGCAGCTAAAGACACTGCCACGCTTATTATCATGTTCTTTCTGATTAGCACAGCTTTGCGTGCCAACACAGCATGATAGCACTCGAGGAGTTGGCACTGAGTGCTGGTGCGACTCATATTAGAAGTTCTAAATGTGGACACTCGACCAGCAACCACAGTCAAAGTTCCAACATCCAAATGTTCAGCCTAGCTGCGCGGTATATCTTTTAGGCTCGTTGGCAGTTGACTTATTAATGACCGATTCTCAAACAACAGTGCTTGGTTGCATGGCCGGCAGCCCAACTCTGGTCAGGGCCACGCTGATTGCAGCTGTGAACCCAAGGGCCTAAGCCTAGCTGTCAGGCTTCACAATCTGAAGCGCTTTGCCAGGAGGAATTGTGAGACTGACAGAGTTGACAACCATTGGACGGATGGGCTGAAGGCCTTTCGCGGCAACAGGCGGCCACTTCATAGCCCAGCACATCTTGATGTACTTACCGTTCCACTTTGACGCTGGCTGGCAGGGTCCCGGCCATGTGCGCTGCAGGGATCTTGGCGACATCATCCTGGCCGGCCTCAGCGCCTTCCGTTTTCACCACCTTCGCGGGAAAATCAGAGGCTTTGAAGTACACCTGGGCCTGCTTGGGGCTGAGTGTAAATGCCGCCGGCTCCGTGGCTGAGGGCGAATCCGTCAAGGTGTGATACCCCACGTGGGCGTCACTTGGGCTCAGCGATCGCTTCGTCTTGATCGTGTCCAGGAGGCTCATGTACTTGCCGCCCAAGATGATGCAGTCCTGCGAGCCCTCCAAGGAGAACAGCACATCGGCTGGGCCAATCTCCTCTTTTTCCTTTCCCGTCGGCGCCCAGAACTTGCCCTTGTAGTAGCCAGCCAAGGTGGTCCCTTTGCGGATCGTGATGGGCTCGGCGTGCGTGTTTTGCAAGTAGGCGCCCTCGCCAACTGTGACCACGAGCATCACCGCGCTCAGGTTGCCAGATCCGACAAGGTGAGCCTCATGGCTCAGAGGATTCAAGTTGCTGGGCTCGAAAAAGTCCTCCTCGGCAATGGCCGCCTTGTCACCGTCACCGTCGGTCTTGCTGCCGGATGGCAAAGCGCCCGGCACATTGGTTTTTCGCTTCTTGCTCTTGCCGTCGTCTTCATTCTCAGAGCTGCGCGTCTTAGGGGGGCAGGTCTAGTGGATAATCTGCACGCGTCTTCTGCAAGAACTCCCTGAACTCACCCTTGAAGATGCTGTGGTCATGCCAGGCAGCCAAGACTTTGGCAGGCGTGGACAGGGTCTGGAGGGTGGAGCCTGGAAGCCTGGTCTTGGAGTACGCCAGCAAGGAGAGGTTGGGTGGCGGTGGCTGCGCAGCTACAAGCTCTGCGTTCCTGCAAAATGCGGTGCAGCTGGCCAATCACACGTCATCCCAATCAAACTCAAAGACTCCAAAGGAAGACCCAAAAATAATGATTTACAACCTTCTCCTTTCCGGCAGGCTGATGAACGGTTTGAAGTTGCCATTGCTGAGCTGCTCGGCCAGCTTCTCGGTGTGATGCTGCAAGGCCCAGTCCACCTGGCCATGATTCGCTTGATACTTCGGCAGTGCCTCATCATTACCACCACACACGTTATGACGCACCACTGGCCCCAACACAGTGGCCACAACCAAATGGCTTGGACACGATTGCCCATCGCTCTGGGTGGCATGGAGCCCCAAGTAGAACAGGTTCATCCCCCCCATGCTCTGCAGGAAGTTCTCCTTGACCACAGCGCGGCCAAGGTCTCCAGTGTGAGCATTCAGATCCACCACCAGGACCACAGGCTTGGGCGCGCCGGTCAAGGAGGACAGCGCTCCACGCAGAATGCTTGTGCAGCCATCAACTCCGACCTGCGCAACCTTCTCTGCCGCGCCCTGGGTGTGTGTCAGCGACTCGTGCTCGGCAGGGCGTCGTCAGAAATGTCCTCAACGGCGACCAAGTCTTTTCCAGACACCACCTCAGCCGCATCCAGGAGCCCTTTGCTGAGCAGAGCCGAGGACCTCCAGAACTGCCACGCTTTGGAATGCGGCTTCTCCTCCATCGAAAGCATCAGCCGCCCATGACGAATCATCGATCTGCAGGGTTCACGTTCGTTCGTTTGTTCATTCATGATTCGTTCATTCATTGATTGATTCATTCATTCATTCATTCATTCATTCATTCATTCATTCATTCATTCATTCATTCATTCATTCATTCATTCATTCATTCATTCATTCATTCATTCATTCATTCATTCATTCATTCATTCATTCATTCATTCATTCATTCATTCATTCATTCATTCATTCATTCATTCATTCATTCATTCATTCATTCATTCATTCATTCATTCATTCATTCATTCATTCATTCATTCATTCATTCATTCATTCATTCATTCATTCATTCATTCATTCATTCATTATATACCAGTATTCTTTCATAATCTTAAAACTATGATGCTCATCTCATAATATCAAATCTTGAAAAGTTAAACACAAAGAAAGAACAAATATCAGTAATAGCACAGAACAGTGAAAAGTTTAGTACCTTTTCATTGAACAGACTTGAATTTAAGGACAGTTTCAGTTTCTTATCATCGTCGTTAGAAAAACTGGTTAAATTAACAAAATATGAAGAGAATAAGTTGATACCTGACTGGGACAATCATTTCATTTACAGTTTCAAAGGCAAATACATTAAAAACGAAAAAGATTTGTTTTTACTGACAGAAAAGGGAGTTATTCATTCAGTCATTCAGTCATTCAGTCATTCAGTCATTCAGTCATTCAGTCATTCAGTCATTCAGTCATTCATTCATTCATTCATTCATTCATTCATTCATTCATTCATTCATTCATTCATTCATTCATTCTTTGATTGATTCATTCATTCATTCATTCATTCATTCATTCATTCACTCAGTCATTCATTCATTCATTCACTCACTCATTCATTCATTCATTCATTCATTCATTCATTCATTTCATTTCATTTCATTTCATTTCATTTCATTTCATTTCATTTCATTTCATTTCATTTCATTTCATTTCATCTCATCTCATCTCATTTCATTTCATTTCATTTCATTTCACTCATTTCATTCATTCACTCAGCTCATTTCATTTTATTTCACTTCATTTCATGTCATGTCATCTCATTTCATTCCTTCATTCATTCCTTCATTCATTCATTCATTAATTCTTTCATTCATTCCATTCATTCATTCATTCATTCATTCATTCATTCATTCATTCATTCATTCATTCATTCATTCATTCATTCATTCATTCATTCATTCATTCAGTCATTCATTCATTCATTCATTCATTCATTCATTCATTTCTTTCATTCATTCATTCATTCATTCATTCATTCATTCATTCATTCATTCAGTCATTCATTCATTCATTCATTCATTTCTTTCATTCATTCATTCATTCATTCATTCATTCATTCATTCATTCATTCATTCATTCATTCATTCATTCATTCATTCATTCATTCATTCATTCATTCATTCATTCATTCATTCATTCATTCATTCATTCATTCATTCATTCATTCATTCATTCATTCATTCATTCATTCATTCATTCATTCATTCATTCATTCATTCATTCATTCATTCATTCATTCATTCATTCACACGCACTTAACCCTTTGACACGCCCACATCATGATTTGTTTCAGGCCCAGCGGGCCTTTGGTCTCTTTCATCAGCTCTGTCCATGTAAGGCAGAACGAAGGGCATATCCATGTTCAACCGGGAGTTCGCCAGGAGTTTGTTGGCTGATTCCTCCTGTTTCCAAAGAAGCCCACGATGATAGCTGTGTGCTGGAGAGAGGAGCAGGCCGATGCAGGCGCCAGTCTCCGGGGAGTGCGAGTTCACCAGGTAGCCTGCTAGGTGTGCGCTGGTTCTCGGAGCTCACCAGGGATGGCGCACTCCAGTTCAAAAGCGCCACTACGCAAATGCTGTCTTTTGCCACCTGGAAGGTCTGAGACAGGCGGCGCAGGATTCCATCAATGCGCGCCACACCGTCCTGTGGGCTGCCATGGCAAGCCAGAGTTGCCATCCACTCCCGGCTAGACTCTTGGAAGCACGCCTTGGCTTGGCGGAAAGCCTAGCAAGTTTGTGCTGCAGCTCACTGGCTTCGTCCTCGCACTTCAGCAGCCAGTTGGCATACGCCTTGATGTCGTGCCTCAGCTTGGCAAGGGCTTGGCAAGGGTCAATTATCACGAGGCTCAGCGCTGAGTAGGCAAATGACAGCCGCAATGAAACCAGCTTGCTACAGCACTCAAGGCACTCAAACATCTTCAGCATGAGCGAAAACTCCTCCCTCTCTAGCTCACCAGCCACAATGGACCTTTTCTCGGATTCAGTCCTGAACTTGCCCTCAGCACTGGCAGCATGACCTTTCATAGGCTCCTTGACCACCGTCAAACCAGCCGAGGTCCAAGAGGCGGAGCGCTCAGCCAATGCCACCTGGAGCTCCAGCTCAAGGTTACGGTCCCCAGCCAGCAGCTTCTCGCTGAGAGAAGTTGCCGCAACTCCCTGCTCGGCCAAGTCGTCCTGGACAGCCTGCAGCAACTGGCACAGGTGCGCTGCTTCCTGCAAGGCCTCCTTGGAAAGCTTTGCCCGGTTACCTGGCAGTAGCCGCCGGTGGGTGGCATCCACAAACCGGATCATCATCACAAAGCTCGCGGCGGTCTGAGTCAACCTCTTGCTCCAAATCTTGTCCCCCGTCTTGGTCACAGCACCCACCTGGATGGCCTTGTTGGAAAAGGCCTCCTGCAACGCAACAGATTTTGCGAGTGTGGCAGCAATAATTCATTCTAACTTTGAGAAGGGTGGCCTGGTTTGGTAGCCTGTTATTATTTCCAGAAACAACTACCTATCACTACCCCAACTGCCGTCCTCTGCGACGGCAGACTGCGAGCCAAACTCAGACGTGTGCTTCAGAAGCAACTCAGCCGTCCCAGGTGGTGCTGGCAGCAGGAAGAGCAACGCGACGCGCTTCTGCCCAGCAAGCTGTGACTCCCTGGTAGCCTCCATGTTCCACGCCTTGATGGCAGCATCCGCTTTGAAGCCCTTGGTGCAGAGAAGGCTGAGCTTTGATAGCCATGTTGGAACATCGTGCGCTCGACGAATCGAGCCTCTTGATGACAGCGCGGCATTTGCCTAATTCCAAAGGGCATGACATCAACGACCACAACTGACAACAGGTTCAAGTCAGTCACAAAGACCCAGCGTTTTAAAATTAACTCACACACGCAAAGTACAACTTTGCAATTTGGAAGATAGGGCACGAATGCAACCCGCTTGATGTCTGTGCTCAATGTTGCGCGGCGGGCCCAAATGACCCGCATGGACTCAAACAAGGCCGGGTGCAGGATCTCCAGCTTCCACTCACACTTCATCGCCAGAGATGCCAGGAAAAGAAGGGTCATTGACCGGGCCGCCCCCTTCACATAGTGCACCCACCCAGAAGGCCCTTCACTGGACCCCTGCGGGCCCGACCACAGAAGAATCGGGTCGCCTGGGCAGCAAGCCACTGAGCTCACAAACGCAGTATGATTATGGATCCTGCTGACCGACAAGAAAACTTTCAAGAAAACCACACGAATTAAAGTTGCTCTCAGAGATGAAGCTGTTGCACAAGTACTCATCTAGCAGGCTGATGGCCGTGGTGAGGTACGGCGCGGGCTTAGTGCTTGACTCAGGACTGAAAGACAAGTCCGACAGCTTGAGGCAAAACATGGTTGAGTCATCCGCAGGGAGTGACGTCACGAAGTTGACATCTTGCCGCGTCGTGCTGAACTCAAGGCCCAGCGTCGCAGCAAAGCTGTTGGTGTCAGGATGGGCCTGCTGAAGGTATTGCTGGGGCCCACCAAAATGGGACAGCAGCTTCTTGCCGCACTCAAAGGCGATCTGCTTGAAGTTCTCTGGTGTGGCTGTTGCTGCTTCTGAAAAAAGAGCAGCCCAAAACTCAGCCTCAGACGTGCCAGCAAGACTGGCCGTGAAGAGGTCAACCTCCATCTTTGCCAGCTCCATCTTTTCGGGGGTCCCATCCGCCTCCAACTCCCCCTTGACTCCATCTGAGCCGCTCCTAAGCGCAGCAGGTTCAACTGGCAGCGCGAGCATTGCTGGCCCTCCTGGCCCTGAAATGGAAAGCCAAAATCTACGGTGGAGAAAAAAGAATCCGCACAATCCCGATTTCACATGAGCGCACGGTCACAGCACAGCCCAAGCTGAGATTTACAATGGCTTGACAAACCACTCAGACTGGGAACCTGGCCCATGGTTGGCCAGAATGCGGATGAGGTACTTCCCAGGCCTGTGCTGCAGTCTTACAGACTACTCACAGTCTCATTCAGGCAGAGCTCCAAGAAAATGGTCGTGTTGAATCATGCGCTTTAACCTTCAAGGCTGGCCAGTGACTCAGTCACACTTTTCCTCAAGCCGCCGGGAGCCATCAGAAGGCTGATTACAGGCTGACTGATTCGAGCTTGTCACGTTCCCTTGCAATGTTGCTGCAATCTTTGCATTGCGAGCTCCAGGCTGCTAAGGCTATACTCGATCAGTCAGTCCCTTGCATGGTGCAGAGCTGCAGCCGCAAGCAAGCAGCAAAACTCGGCAGTGTACTTCTGACAGTGCTTGCTAACAGGCACACCGTTATGACTGCCTTGTACGTGAAAGTGCTGGGCAGCGCATTTGCACTGACGATCCTGAAAGAGCTCTACAATCTTGTCACTGTTGGTCATTAAAGTAGTTCGTTTTTTGATCGGGTGACTTGCCGAGCTTTCTCCCGGGGCCGCCAATCCCACAGCGCACTGGTCAAAGGAGACAAGCTTGGTCTCGGGGAGCGCTGCCAAACAGCATGTGGGTTTGAATCTAAATACTTTCAAAACCCTGGCAGTGCATCATGACAGATACATCCATCTGGAAAAGGGAATCTGACTATTGCGCCTTGTGGCACACGCCTGTGTCCAGCTCGATGCTCTCCAGGGATGCTCATGACACCAAATGCGGTTCTCATGGTGCTGGATCCAAGCCATATCCATGCCGAAGGCCAAAAGGGAATCAGCTTCTGCTTGGCGCAGTTCACCTGCGCCGGCCATGCGAACATTGCAAATTGAACCTACCACTGACTGGTTGAAGGCAAATAATTTCAAATTCAGCTGTGGCTCGGACTTCAATTGTCATCTTGTGTCTGTTCCACAGGCGCATCAGCTCAGAATACATCGTGCATGGAGCTGAGATCATCAACATGCGCGGCTTGAGCACGCGCTGGCAGCGCAGGACATGCCCCCTAGCCTGCCAAGTCAGGAGGTCGTGGCCTGACAGGAGATCAAAGGAGCCACCAGAGGTCATGTTCAGCTGCTCCAAAGACCTCCATGAAGTGGCACGGAAAGGATGGGCCTGGATCATCAGAGAAGTCGCAATCATCCTCAATGGTCAAGTCCTGGTCGGCGTCCTCTGCGGCACTGCTGCTGTCACCCTCAACTGCCACGGGGGAGGTCCCGGTGTCATCACTCACCGACATGACAGGAATATGACATCACAATGCCACTGTGCCAGCCGGAGTCAGCTAAAATAGCTGCGGGTCAATGCCAAGTCTGTAATCTCAAGCCTTCTCTGCAGCAGCTGGCAACGAAAGATCTGAGACTGGAGCCCACGTGGAGGGCTGATGCCAACGACCCGGGCCGAGTACGGAAAGTCACTCAAGCTTATTGATTGTGTCTGATTCAAACACAGCGGTGCTCAGTGACTCAGTGCAGGTGAATGGACTGACGCATTTTTTGCAATGGCATCCTCAGATAACATCGGGCCCGGCGCAGTCAGGCAATAATCGGTACGTTCCAACAAGGCGCCGGTTCCATTCAAGGCGCCGTGTCACAGGGATAGTAAATAGCTCAGCGCAGCCACTGTCGCTGTGGGCAGTGCACAGTACAACAGACCACCAATCACAGGAGCAGGCATCCGGCCCTCTGACATTGACATGCAGGAAGTCTTAACCTTTTCAGAAAACCTTTGTAAGGTTAAACGCTGCCCCAAGTTCCACACAAACAGCATTCTCCCTGAGCCTGGTGGTTAGGCGCTGAAAGAGCAAAATTTGTCCATCACGATGCTTGTGCAAACGGAAATGAACTCACTTTGGCTTTGAACTAATTCTTAGTCCGCAAAGTTGCACAATGAGCCACGAGGTGGACACACATGATGGCATTTCACTACGCTGCTGCGTTTTTTTTTGTGAAGCAACTTGACACGACAATGTGCAACAGTTGTAACACCACTGGACTGCAGCAGCTGGCAGTGGATGATTCCCCGTCTGGGGCCGCCCGGGCTTTGAGTCAACAAGCCAAATCTGACAGATTTGTGTTGCGCACTGGCACCCAGAATGCCATCAAATGACTAAAATATTTTTGCTCAACTCCAAGCCCTAGCAGCGCCTCCAAACATTGTCTACTTCCTGTAAGCTGAGGCCATTGGCAAGCCTGCACGCTTGACAGCCTATCTGCGATTTGCGGCATTTGGAGCAGCCCAAAACTACGCCCGGAGGCAACTCAACTGTGACACCTCTCTGGCCGTGCAAGATTTGAACGTCACCTCTCAGGGACGCCCAGACATTAAATAAACAACGTCAATAAGAAAACATATTCAGCAACACCACGACAGTAATCACAGTTTGAGGCAACTCGGCCTGGCAGAGCTTGAGCTGGCAGATCTGGAGGCGCTGGGACTGGCTGGACTGCAGCTGCTGGACGCTTCATTGAAGCAGCTAAGGCTGGCCGCTTCATCTTCTGACCTCCGACTCCCGCCGGCCCACGTCGCCCTGGATCACTGCTAGCTGCATTTGCGTGTTCTGAGCCGGCGTCAGATGGCAAAAGCAAAGCAGCAGGTCGCTTCATTGGCAGTCTTCCAGGCCGGTGTGCAGGCTGACCTTCCTGATCACTCGCCACCGAAGGAGCATCGGACGGCAGCACCATCTCAGGCTCCGATGCCTGTGACAGTGTTGGTGCCAACGCACGCGGCGCAGCCTTGGATTTTTTGGCTGCAGCTTTGGGCCCAGAGATCTTCACCTTGGCAGGCTCTTGTGTGGCCCACTTCAGAAAGTCTGCTGGCTGGGCCCGCTCAGACATAGCAGCTAACCCATCCTTTCTGGCAGGCGCTTCATGGATGAGTGCCCGAAGTGGTGGGCCGTCGTGCTTGTCCGGGGGCACAGTGCCTGCTTCCGCAATCAATGTCTCGATGTAGGCAGCAGCACGCTCATAGCCCCAGGGTGACTGCAGGATCTTTTGCTGGGTTTTGCGCAGCTCACGAACTGCGTCCTTCCCCAGCTCATTCAAAGGCACATTTGCCTGGGGCCAGCCCGATGCAACCAACTGGCTCATCATCGCATGCGGGACAAACACCAGCGCCTGCTGGTACTCCACATCCTGCATGTGTGCCTTGACCAAAAGGCAAATGTCCAAGGGGTGGGCCTCCTCCTGGAACACGGACTCAAGTAGAGGCACGTTCGGGTCCTCAAGGCACCTGACAAGGGCAAGTCTGACTAAGTCAGCACCGAAGACCAAGCATGCACAATTTCATTCTGACAAGGGCATTAGTTGTTTTGCAATGAAACACAACACCTGTCCATGTTTGCATGTTTGACAACCCAGCTGCCAACTCACTGGCCTTTGACAAGCGTGCTGTCCGGCACGAAGCTTGGCTTGTGTCGAAGTGTGCCCATGAACTTGCAAGGGCAGCTGCTCAAGCCAGGCTTTGAAGTTCCACTGGCTGCTCAGGGTCTCTGCTTGAAGGACACGGCCCTCTCGTGGGCGCACCTCCAAAAACAAGTGTTCTGGCAACACTTACAGCCTAGTTGGCAGGCTTGGCTTGGAAAAATAAGCTGGGCGGACCGACATAATTTCAACTTTGGCCCTCAGAACCTGGTTGATGATACGCAAAAAGTCTTCTGGGTGCTGCAGGACATCACTAGCAAACAAGTGGTGTCGCACCTCCGAAAACCGCTGATCTGGGAGACCATGTGAGTGTCCAGCCCGAAAGTATGTGAATACGAAGTCATCAAAGATGTCTGCATGCACATGGCAGTTCCTTGGGAAGGCCACGCCGCGCTTCTGCGTTTCTTGCAAGGCAGCCTTAATGCAGTGGGTGATGATGGTGAGGTCCTTGTTGGCAGTTGTGCCGACTGTGGGGTCGCTGAGGAAGAACTGCTCTACCTGCCCATCCACCACCGCCAGCGTAAGCTTCAACTCTGGGCGATGCATGGCCTGGAACTCCTTGGACTTGCAGACGTTCAAGGGCACCTTAAACTTGCTGATGTCCATGCCATCCACCGTGATGCCCAGCCACGAGCTCTGCGAGCTGCAATCCAGCGCTGAGTGACCCGAGGTCATGCTCAGCACAGCTGCTTGGCGCCAGAGGGCATCGGCGCGCCGATCACGCATCACCGCGTCCAGGTGCTGCACATACGCCGCCGCCACCATCTCTGAGTCTGATGTCGTCGCCGCCTCGCGCTTGAACGCCTTGAAGCCCTCACACGCATTGCACTTCGCATGCTGAGATTCCCCTCGGAACCGGAGCTTCTCCTTAAAGTCCTTGTGGAACACCCGCACCCAGGTTCTGTAGCTCGGGGCCACCAAGTGAGGCAAAAAAGATTTTGCAACCTGCAGCAATTCACTCAGAGCTGTGCCTGGGTGCAAATGCCGTGTCTCAGACGGCAACTCCGGCGATCCCATCTGTGACGGAGCAAGCAGGGCCTTCGCCTTCACCCCAATGTCCAGCTGCAGCACAGGGATGTTGGCTTCAGCAAGGGGCTCAGCCAGGAACTCATGCACCCAAAGCCCACATTGTAAAGGCACTCGTGACCGCAATGTGCTCAGCAGGGGTCGGGCCACGGGTCCAGCGGCGGGTGTTTGTGGCCAGCAGCCAGCCACTGAGAAAAGGTCGTCACCTTGTTCTTGCTCATGGTCAGGACGCTGGCCAGGGCGTTGCGGCAGGCAGCAATCCCAAAGATGTTGAAGCGGCGGTGG